CAGAAATCACGTATTATAGATAAGATAGAATTTAGAGGTAAAGAGATTTATCAACAGAATTTAATAAAAAAGGCTTTTTTGGAGTTTTATACAAAATTATATGCTAAAGATGCAATTCAAGATGTTGATATTGATAGATATTTAAAGATGGAGACTCCTGAATTAACGTTGGAACAGAGAGAGAGATTGAATCAGCCAATAACTTCTGAGGAAATTGTTGGGGCAATTAAACAATTAAAAATAGGTAAGGCTCCGGGAACAGATGGACTAACAGCTGTTTATTATAAACATTTACAATCCGAAATGTTAGAACCACTAAAAATTTTATTTAATAAAATACAATTAGGAGGAGGAGTACCACCTTCTTGGAAAACAGCCTTTGTTTCACTAATTCCAAAGGAGGATCAAAATTCCATTAAACCGGAGAATTTTAGGCCAACTTCACTTCTGAATATTGATTATAAGATATTTGCTAAAATATTAGCTAATAGACTAATGCCAGTTATGCAACAAATAATTCATAATGATCAATCAGGGTTTATAAAAGGTAGACAAATGAGATATAATGTTAGACAAATTGTAAACCTACTGGAATATTTGGAAAAAAATAATCAAGTCCCTGCAGCGTTTATATTTTTGGATGCAGAAAAGGCATTTGATCGTTTGAACTGGCAATTTTTGTTTAAAATAATAGAGAAAATGCACTTTGGGGAATATTTTACACAATCAATTAGAGCGATATACCAGCAGCAAACGGCACAAATCATAGTTAATGGAGGTCTAACAGAGACTTTTAAAATTGAGAAAGGAACAAGACAGGGGTGTCCACTGTCTCCACTATTATTTATTTTGACTTTGGAGGTACTATTGAATAAGATACGTGATTCAGAAAAATTGAAGGGTATTGTAATTAGACAACAAGATTATAGATTAAGAGCCTTTGCAGATGATTTGGTTATTACTTTATCTCAACCTATAGAGTCGGCTCCATACATATTGGATATAATTGATCAATATGGGAAAGTATCAGGATTTAAAGTTAATTCACATAAGACAAAGATGATAGTTAAAAATATGACTACATTTGAAAGAGATAAATTAGCAAGATTAACAGATTTTGAAATAGTTAAAAAGGTTAAATATCTAGGGGTATACATAGCAGCTTCAAATACAAAATTATATAAAAATAACTATGAGGTACTTTGGCAGAAGGTACAGAAGGATATGGAAAATTGGAAAAAGTTACAGTTGTCTTTATTGGGAAGAATTGCAGCAATTAAAATGAATGTTTTACCAAGATTTTTATTTTTGTTCCAAATGATACCTGTGCTTAAGAAAGATGAAAATCTGAGAGAATGGCAGAAAGGTGTTAATATTTTTATTTGGGCTGGGAAAAAACCCAGAATAAAAATGAAAATTATACAAGATACACGGGAAAGAGGGGGTCTTAAAATGCCTAATTTAAGACTATATTATGAAGCAGCGGTTTTATCACAAATCAGTGATTGGTTTAACTTAACTGAGGGGAGAATTTTGAATTTAGAAGGCTATGATTTGTTATATGGATGGCATGCCTATTTGTTATATGATAAAAAAGTGGATAAAGTATTTAAGGTTCATATATTAAGAAATGCTTTGTTAAGGGTTTGGAAAAAATATCAATACAAGTTAAATTATAAGATACCTTTATGGGCAAATCCTAGACATGCAATAGAAAATATAAGTATAGAACAAAAATAGGAGGTGATTACTTATAAAGAGCTTCTTATTATGGAAAGGGGGGTAATGTATTTGAAATCTTTAGATACATTGAGAGAAGAAGGTATAATTTATACATGGTTTCAGTATGGTCAACTTCAAGCTAGATGGAAGGAAGATCAAAAAACTGGCTTTGTGCAAAATGAGGAGAATCTGGTTAAACAAATTAGAGATCAAAAACAAATGCATATTAAAAGGTTGTATAGTGCTTTATTGGAAATAGATTCTGAGACTGAGTTGGTTAAAGACTGTATGATTAAATGGGCACAAAATTTTCAAGAGCCAGTAATGATGGAAACTTGGGAAAAGATTTGGATTAGAAATGTGAAATTTACACAAGCACAAAATTTAAGAGAAAATTTTTATAAAATGTTTTATAGATGGCACTTAGATCCTAAAAAATTATCATGTATGTATTCTAATGTGCAAGCTAAATGTTGGAGATGTGACTGCGATGATGCAACCTATTATCATATATGGTGGACTTGTAGAAAAATCAGAGCATTTTGGATAAAGATTTGGTGGGTGATGCAGAATATTCTTAAAAAGAGATTGAAATTTACTCCACAGTTGTTCTTACTGGGTATAACTATGGATTGTACAGTTGCAGAGACTAAATTGATTTTGAACTTGATAACAGCAGCAAGATTGCTGGTAGCACAACATTGGAAGAAGGACTTTTTGCCTACTATTGAAGATTGGACATTGAAAGTAACTAATTTAGCTGAAATGGCTAAAATTTCAGCATATTTGAAGGATCACACACAAGAAAGGTACATACAGGACTGGAGAAGATGGATTGATTATATACAAAATAAGTATCAGACCAAAAAATATCAAATAGCTTATGAATGATTTTCCTTATTTGTATAAGTGTTATATAAGTGATATTAGATGTATTATGTTTTAAGAAATAGAATTTTATATATGGGGGGTTAAGAATTTTTTTTTTTATAGGGGTGTTAGTTTATTGATTGGTTATGCAATTTAGATTATTGTTAAAGATCAATAGAAATACCTTGTGTTCTGCTCTGGGAAGTCGGGGAGAGGGAGGGGGGGTTGGGGGGGTTGGGGGTGGGGCTTGTGGGGGAAAATATGTTTGTTTTTAAAACTTTTTCAATAAAAAAAAAAAAAATATGACCGACCAAAAGCTCACATTAGGCTGATATCACAATAAATAATAAGGCAGTCGACTTATATAAAGGGAACAATAGCATTACACAGAAACTACATCAGCGGGATGACTTAGTAAAACTTCGTAATCATAAAACATATTGATAGATCATGTGGAGTTTAAGAAAAGAAAATAACATAACATTTAAGACTTAAATCAAGGGATTATTTTTTGAGTATCATTAACTCAAAATAAATAGATTGGTCCTGCAATAGGAATCTCATCAGTACCAATACTGTTCCAATAAGGTATCCAATAAGGAGAGATTTTGATCATCTCATAGGAAGGAATTCCTTACTTATGGCAATGTCTCTGAAAAGTACTTGTTCCTAGTCATTATTTGCCTAATCTAAATCTACTGATTGAATGTAAGCAGAACCTCTCCAATCCTACTTATTACGTGTATTGGGTGATTTGGTAGAGGGATCTTCTGAATATCTGAGGTTTAAACCACTAGGGATTTATAGACTAATAGCAACATTGGCCTGCCACCCCGCAAGCAATGTAGTTGCTTAATAATTGGGTAGGTGTACATTGTGTCTGTTGCAGTGTTCAGGCCATTTTTGTAGAGTGCATTGCAGCAATCCAATCAAGATGAGAGTCTGGATCACTGACCCTGGGCTGTGTTCTTAACTGATAGACCAGCCAAAATATAGAGCCAGCTTTTTCCCCCTCCTGTGATTTCGATAGATGTCCCAATCAAAATGGCACCCAGCACAAAGGTATCTGCGGAGGATTCAAAATGTGCAAGACAGTAGGGGCAGCTTTGCAATTAAGGTTGCATCTGCCATCCTGACCCCCCCCCCGCTTCCCTTCCTATGTCTGTGCCTCTTGCAAAAGGTTGAACCATTCCACAGAATCCTTCATAATGCCCTTTTTTTTCCTTTGGAGGGACAGCGGCCTCACAAAAAATAAAACAAAATCCCATTTTCCAAACTTCCTGGTCTGACACACTCACCCATCTCCAATTCTGCTGTTTCCACAGATTCAGCATCCATTTTTCGGGCCCTCACCTGTTGTATCACAGCCTCCAAAACAGGCGTGAAATGCTCCCGGTTTGGACCAGATCGCCGATCTGGTAGCGATGGCGGTGGGTGGTTCGGAGAACCGGTAGCAAAAATTCCTGCAACCCCCCATGCCCAGGTGAACTGCGCGATCAACAGAGGCTTTTTTTTTTAACTTTTAAAAGCATTTAAAAGCATTTTTTTTACAACCTCTTCTGCCGAAACCTCTTAAGGTTGTAGAAAATAAAAAGTTGGCCATACCCACCTAGTCACCCCCCACCCACCAAGCCACGCCCACAGAACCGGTAGTAACAAATTTTACATTTCACCACTGCTCCCAAACACTACAGAGCCTGCAACTTAATCTTGGCTAGCGTTTTAAAAATCTATAGGCTTTTTAAGCTACAATTTATTAAACCAAGGGGTTGGACTAGAAGACCTCCCTTCCAACTCTGTTATTCTAAACAGTTTTATCAGATGGAGATGGGCGATTAAGAAACATGAAGTGTCTGTCTATCATCTATCTATCATCTATTTCTATCTATCTATCTATCTATCTATCTATCTATCTATCTATCTATCTATCTATCTATCTATCTATCTATCAACAGAACCAGTCAAACTTTTGAAGCCCTGATACTTTTCACCTTTTGTTAACCTCAATATTTCTGATTCCAAAGTGGGAGGGGCTACAACCCTCCCCCTCCCACCCACCCCAGGTAGAAAACTAGAGAAGAATCTGCTTGGTTTCCATTTTCAGGGGCTGCTGCAGCACCCGTGAGAAAGCAATCCACAGAGCGGCTTGTTTGCAGGGTTTTAGGAGCCATGCCCTGCGCCCATTGACTGGCAAGTGGGAAGAACCTCCTCGGGCTGCTCCTTTTTCCAGTCCAAAGAAGGAGATCTGGAAATGAAGCGGCCAAAACCTCCGGCGCGCCTTCTGTCTCAGCCGCTTGTTTCCATTCTTGGGAGATGCACCTTCTCGGGAAGGTGTCGGGCGAGACGAGCCGCTGGGGGCAGCAGCGGGAGCCGCGGAACAATTCTCCCAGGAGGCTCTACCTCCTCCGCCTCCGCCTCCACCTCCGCCCCTGCCGACGGCGCCTTCCCAGACTCCTCTCCGGGTAAACAGCGATGGCCGCAGATGAAGGAGGCGGAGACCAGGATAACAACATGGGAAACCACTTGCAGATCCTCCCGGGTAATAGCCGTTCCTGCCTTACGCCGATGGGAACCGGGGAGCCTCCTGAGCGCGGCAGCGAGCGCTTGGGGTGGACGAAGGGGATGGGGGACGGGGTTAAGGAAGGGATCGGGGAACCTGGGCAGAGAGGGGGAAAAAGGGGAATGGGGAGAGCCGCCAGTTTGTCCTCCCCATAGATTAGGGCCTGAAGCTCTGGAAGGCGTTGGGCAAAGGGCTTGGATTGGGCGCAATCCTGGGTTTGGCCAGGCAGGGGCAAAGGGAAGAAGCTAAGGGGCAAAATCTGGGCCTAAAAGAAGGCGATCCCGGGCTTTTAATCGTGGACGGTTAAAGGGACTGAAGTCCTGCGTTAGGGACCTGGTGCGTCTAAATCCAGAGAAGGGAAGAGGTGGGTCTGTGTGAATGGGGGGTGGGCGGGGTGGGGGGTGGGGAAAGGGAGGATGTTTGGTTTGCTTTGATAGTCAAGGAAATGAGATCAGGGAACATTTCCCCCCCCCTCCCATCCTGGACTATTTTTTGCGGGCATGAGCTGCTTAAGGAATTGTAGTACTGGGATGGCGAAGAGGGATGGAACCAAGGCAGAATTTGCAACCAGGAGAGATTAAATAAATGCGGGATGAATCGCTCCTATTCAGCAGTTCCTGTATATCTTAGAAGAGAAATTTGAAACTGGGTGGGGTGGGGTGGGGGCTTCCTGACCCCACTGCTGTCAAATGCACAGGAATCTTGGCAGGAAACTGCATGACATCTTTTGGAGAGTCAGGACAAAGGAGGAGAGGCTGATAGTTTGTTCTAGAGACAACATTCAGAGTTGTATAGTAATGTCGGTGTGTATGATATAAGGAGCTGGCGTACCGAGACTTGTAAGGTCGCAATATTAAAATCTCTTTTTCAAAGATATAACAGTCTAAGAAAATAAGGAGAATTCACTTGGGGGCACAAGTGAATTAAAAAGCAAAAAAAAAAAAAATGCTTTGACTTAGATGTGGCCAGTCAATTTCTATCCGAATATTTTGGACACCCAAAACTTTGAAACATGGGCATTTCACACCAAATTATTATAGACCCTTGTAAATGTAGTCAGACTGTAAAAGTTGGTAGCCTTTCTATTTACATTGGATGCAGAAAAGGCGATTTGTCATGGAGCACAGGCCTCTCTAAGCTGTTTAATACAGAAAATGTAGGCAGGCAGCCCTCTGCTGTTTTTCTAGGAAAAGAGCCTTGATGGTACAGTGGTCTAAGCACCCTGTTATTAACACAGCTGCCTGCAATTACTGCTGGTTCGAATCTCCCCAGGCTCAAGGTTGACTCAGCCTTCCATCCTTTCTAAGGTAGGTAAATTGAGGACCCAGTTTGTGGGGGAAATAAGCTGACTTTGTATAAATATACAAAAGTATGAAGGCTATTGCTTAACGCATTGTAAGCCGCCCTGAGTCTCCGGAGAAGGGCGGCATATAAATCAAATTTAAAAAAAAAAAAAAGGTTTTCCTACTTCAACAACCAACCCAAAAAAATCTTTTGCTGGCTTCCTCAGTTGCCTGCCTGGAAATTCTTGCCATTTTCATGAATTTGTTTAGCTTTTTTTTTTTAAAGAATCCTTTAAGTCAGTGATTATTAGCGTACCTGGTTTTTGGAAAGCACTACTTGTTGCTTGAAAGTATTTTGTCTGTCCTGAGACTTATCTCAGACAATTTCATTACACGGTTTTAGAAATGCCCACTTAGTTTCTCCCCCCCCCCCCATTTTTACATTATTTTGTAAAGCCTTGTAAACCTATTAGTCACCTTATTTTCTAAATAAAAATGTTTTGATTTTTTTTCTGTGTATAGATGGTACATAATTTTGATTGCCCTTTTATCCCTTACCTGAAATTATAATTGTAAAGTATGTTTATAAATTATAATTTACATTTTCGGCTTAACGGTTGGCCCAGATGATACAGTACAAATATTTTTCCTGGGTATTCACTGTAATTTCAAAACAAAATAATTGTTTATATCATTTACAAATTAGCAATACCAATAGCACTTAGACTTATATCATGCTTTTACAGCCCTCTCTAAGTGGTTTACAGAGTTAGTATATTGCCCCCAACAATCTGGGTCCTTATTTTACCCACCTCGGAAGGATGGAAGGCTGAGTCAACCTTGAGCTGGTGAGATTCGATCTGCTGAACTGCAGCTAGCAGTCAGCTGAAATAGCCTGCAGTACTGCACTTTAACCACTGCGCCACCTCGGCTCTTCTCAAATTATCTTGTAAGGCAGTCTTCCATTCGCTTCTTCTCCATTCAGGTAACTTTAGAGGAGCAGAAAACTATAAAAAAGTGACTTCTGACCCTATGAAAACAGAACTGAATATGCATTTGGAACTTGAAACAACAAGAAAATAGCATAATGCAAATAATTATAATAACAGGAACAATTCAGGCCAGTCAATCCATAGCTCATTTGAGAGTCTTTAGGACCTTGGGAAAGGATAGAAGGATTCGGGCCCTCCAAACCACAGGGAGAATGATGCTCCGTGGATGATGATGTTTCATGGAAGAGACTTGAAGCATGCCCAATATTCTGATTCTTGTGGGATAAGCACAGACAGTTGGAGACATACAAGTCACACACCTTGACTTGCATCCAGAAGCTTATATGGTAGGGAACCAGTGCAACTTGTGAAATAATGGTTTTACGTGGGTGCATACGTTTTAACTGCACTATATTCTGAATCGGTTTCCATTTCTGGGTAGTTTTCAAAAGCTTCAGGGACAGCCCCATATAGTTTGCATTGCAACAATTTAGATGTGTATTAGGGTTAGGTCCTCCTGACTGAGATACAGTTGATGCACAAGATGGATTTATGCAAAGGTTCTGGTGCCCCTGTCTGCCACTTTTTTCAGCAGGATCTGAGAGTTCAAACCTGATACCAAAGTGTGTATCAGTTATGTTTAGGGGGGTATGACCTCTTCAAGGACCAAAGGTTCCAGAGTCAAGGAACCCACAACCCATAGCCATTCTGTTTTGCTAGATTGAGCCAAAACCTGTTTTTCTCTATCCAGACCCTACAACTCCAGACACAAGAAAGAATCTTGATGGCATTTCTTGGTTGGACTAGTGTGGAGATATATAATTGGGCATTCTGTAATAACCTTGCCCATCGGTCTCATGTAGAAGTTAAATAAGACCAGAGTAAGACTAGAACCCTAGGTTGGATATCCCATAAAGGCCTTGGTGTAGATCTTTTTTCCCCTTTCAACACTAACTGGAAATGATTGTGGAGGAAGGAGGAGAACCAACACAACACTGTACTTCCCACTATTAAACCTCAAAGCCAGTGTATCAGTGGTAACAAAAGCACCAAGAGTTCAAGAAGGGCCACAATGGACGAATTGTAATTATCCCAATATAAAGCCTGACTGGAAGGGATCTAGATAATTCATTTCCTCCAGAACCCCATGAAACTTCAAGCCAGCCATCTTCTGAACGATCTTTCTCCAAAGAAAGAAGGGTAGATACCAAATGAAAATATGCAGTATTGTTAGAACTAGGGAAGATTTCTTGAGAAGGGTTGGACCACAGCCTCTTTGAAAGCTAGAAATAAACTTTCTTCAGTCAAGGAAGCATTTCACAGAGTTCTCTTCTTTCCCAAGGAGGATTGAGTCAACCTGAACAAGGCCACTGGAGGTCTGTCATATATAATGAGAGGGGAAGAATTGTGTTTTGCTGCTCTCAAGATAATTCTTAAGAAAGGATCTTACCTGTGTTGATTAGATTCACTTCTTGTGTTTCTCCAGCAGTCTTCCAGGTTCCTCTTCTGCCTTTACTTTTGCTCCTCAGAGGATCAAGGAGCTTTCAGCTATCTAAGGACACAGAGAGGCTGCAAAGCTGCAATTCAGTCCAAGGATATGATTATCCCCTCCAAACAATGATGAATACCTTAGATGAATATCAGTGACGTTCAGTAATGAACATCAAAACCTCAGAAATAACCCCAAACTTCCTTTCGAAATCCTAATTGAGTTCCTGGTACAGACTGGTCCAATTGCAGGAAATAGTTATAGAGAATTTAATATAAACATGGAATGATTTGCAAGAAATGCTGATGATGTCTCCAGTTCTAGATAACACTGTGAAATAAAAGCTACTACAATAACTACTGACCACTTCTGTAACTTGATCCCATAACAACTTCTATCAGATCCATGGTTGTCAGGGTAATCATGTGCTTCCATGCCCAGAAAAAGCATTAACATTTTGTAGTACTATTAATTTGGGTAACATCAACTCTGATAGAGGCTCAAGGAGCTCTGGTAAGGGGGCTACCATATAGCAGGAGGTTGGTATAGAAGCAGTGTGCTCTAGGCATGATGCCTAGAGTTTTAATCTTAGCAGAGACTCATAACTAACTTTATGTGGGGCAGTGTTTCTTAAAGTTGTAAGGTCTCTCAGATAATCTTAATTTCCCTACTGTCCCTGCCCAGGGATTTTGGGTAATGCTATATTAGGAACCCATATTCAGCACTAGTGAAATGCAATCTGCATAGCAAGCATCCATGATAGTTGGCTTACTCCAGTACAAGTCATATTTCATTGAAGGCTATAAAGTTTATCAGATGCAAATTCTCCATTTCCCTCCATGGAATTTAGGGTTGATGTATGCAGTTCCTGGATAGTTTGTACAAGCAATTACCACATTTAGTCCTACAGAGTATTAACATAATTGCTTAGAGGTTTTTCTTTCTTAGTTACCAGCCTGAGTACTGATAAACAAATGGGTGTTTTTCCTCACCTCCAACAGGTGTGCTTGCTTGATCTGTGCCATTAGGCAATTTATTGATAATACAAGTAGCGCTTTTCTTTTGATTAAGGTTTCTACTTGAATAAATCTTTTAGTGGAATACGTGAATAATAAGGGATAGCATGTATGATTTTGATTTAAGATTTATGAGAATTTTTTTGTTATGGCTGATGAAATAAATGAGAAGTGAACAACATTTTTCACTTTTTTCAGATCAAATAGTAATAGCACTTAGACTTATATACCGCTTCATAATGCTTTACAACTCTCCCTAAGCAGTTTACAGAGTCAGCCTATTGCCCCCAACAATCTGGGTCCTCATTTTACCCACCTCGGAAGAATGGAAGACTGAGACAACCTTGAGCTTTGTGAGATTTGAACTGCCAAACTGCTGGCAGCCGGCAGTGAATAGAAGTAGCCATTCTAACCACTGCGCCATCACAGCTCAATACTACCAAGAACTTGTAGCAGTGGTTGAATTAAGAAAGTAAGTGATGCCCAAACATACTGGCAAGGCAGGAAAAACCCCAAACTTGATTTAATATTAGTTTTAATTAATCAACTAAGGTTAAAGATTACTTTGTGTATATTTAATTCTCTCATTCGTCCTATTAAAATTTAAAATTCTTCAGCAAATTTTTCAGGATTTTATATCGTATATTAGAAGCCCACGGGTAACTAGTACTTCTGTGTTGGCATCCCAGTCTTATGAGGACTTGATTACTGAATTTTAAAGAGAACATAATATTTCTTACAGGAAAGTTAATATATTGTAAGATTATAAGGGAACATTTACAATCTTTTTCTAAACATTAAAACTATAAGGGCTTGAACGTTTTCTGATTGGCAACATCCAGGCCACCTTGGATCACCTGAAAAGAGGAAGGGAGGGAAGATGTATATGGTTTCTTCAAACTGTAGAATTTTTCGCTGCAGAAATGTAAACAAAACTGTGCTCACTTAATACTTGGATTGGAGACCACCAAGAGATCATAGGCTGTGGACTAGGCTTGGAAGGCCAAAAAATAAAATCTGGGAAGAAAGTAATGGCAAACCAAACCATTTCCCTGTTACTGCTAAGAAAATTATAGAGACATGCTCACCAGGAATCAAACTTGACTCAAGAATATCTTGCTAGATTGAAGGCTATGTGACTTTATCCTGCCCATTTTCCTCTTTTACGGATTAATAACAACTAGATATTGGAGCAATTAATTATTTTTCAGAAACAGATATTTGCAGCAGAAGCTTCTATGCTTGAGGAGGGGCACTAATCCATCAGTTTTCTGTGCAAATGGAGAACTTAATCTCACATTGTCCCAAGGACCTTGTATCAGTGATGCTTTTCTTCTTTTGGGAAGGAGTCACATAATCTTCTTCAGTTAGCTTTCTTCAAAAATAGGGTGGAGTAATATTTTTTGCATTTTAACATGAGAAAGGAGTAAGTAGCTTCATATAAGTTGAAAAATAGAGATTCCCATATTCTGTTGTATGAGTAGGGAAAAGAAAGGCTGACTGAAGTGGGATTCTTGACTGTTGCTTGATGCTTAATTGCTTTTATATGGCATAATCACTGAATCCTGACCTGTCTCTGTTAATTGCTGTTTTGTTTTTCTCCTGTCTGAATTCCATATTGGTGCAAGAGCCAAACTGACACAATTGCATCATAACACATTAAGTTAGTTAAGTTTCCTACTTCTTTCAAGAAGAATGCCTGGCTTTTGTTTTACATCTCTGCATTTTGAGAAACAAAACTTCTATTTCCATTACCACTGCTGTTTGGTGTCATAATGGGGCCATATCTGTGTCACTTTGACACTGCATAATTCAAGGCCTGCTGACTTTGCAGATTTCATGTATCTCTAAAGGATTTAAACTGCAGTATTCAGCAAGTCTCCTAGAATCCTCCTTCAATGGATTCCCAAGGTGCTTTTTTCCCTTGCAGTTGTGAAACAGCCAGTCAACTGCTAATTCTTAGAAGGAAGGTTGCACATCTTCACTTTAAATTCCAGAAGATCAGTTGGTGCAGATTATAATAAGTGTGTGGGGGTGGGGGTAGGGGGTGGAATCTGCATATAGAATTGATTGTGTAATGCAGATATAACTGGATTCATATAAATTGAATAGAGAGACTGCAATAAAGCCATGATCAAATTTGTTCTGTGTGTTTCAGCTTAGAAAGCTAAATAGGATAATGTATTATTACAAATTAATTGCATTTAGTAATAGTGGTATCTTGTTGAATAGCTTCATTTCCTGAAATATAGTTATTCCAGGTTTCTGTCCTGGTTCTGCTTTATTTCTTTTTGCGTTTAGCTTGCACACAGCAAAAGCCATCATTGCATAATTTGACAAGGGGTTTTGCTTTCTAGTTGGCTTGTTGTAGAGCCTAATGCTAAGAGGGAGTGGCTGCCCAAGGTCACCCAGCTGACTTCCCTGTCTATAGGAGGACTAGAACCTAGGTCTCCTTGCTCCTAGACTGGTACTTTAACGCTACAGATAGTCCTCAACTTAGAACCACAATTGAGCCCAAAATTCCCATTGCTAAGCAAGGCAGTGGTTAAGCGAGTTTTGGTCCATTTTACGACCTGTGCTGCCACATTTGTTGAGTGAATCACTGCCATTGCTAAGTTAGTAACATGGTCATTAAATGAATCTGGTTTCCCAATTGACTTTCCTTGTCAAAGGCTCACAAAAGTTAATCACATGACCCTGGGACACTGCAACCCTCATAAATACATGCCAGTTACCAAGCGTCTTGAATTTTGATCATGTGACCATGGGGGTACTGCAGTGATCGTAAGTGTGAAAATGATCGTAAGTCACTTTTTTTCACTGCTGTTGTAACTTCGAATAGTCACTAAATGAATGTTCGTACATCGAGGACTACCTATGCACCTTCCAGACCGTCACTTTCATTTCCTGAAAAATTATTAGTCCTTTGCATTATATTTACATTATTCCTTCTTTATATTCTTAGTCATTTACATTATATTACATTTACATTATTCCTTATTTCTATTCATAACAAAATTCCTTAAGAGTTGGAATACAGGTTGGGATAGAGCTGAGCTAGTTGCAAGCATTGTGGATTGAAAAGTGCTTCATTGAAGGAAGGTGGATCTGCCCTGATGCAACCCTTAAAAATCCAAGTGAAAGGGAAATACTGGTTTCTTTTTTTTTTTCCTGTCATGTCCTTGTAGCAACCCATGTTATTTTGATATTAGCTAATTTTAAGGCATTTCAGATCTTTGGATAATACAGGAAAAGAGTGTGTGCATCCCTCAGAGATATTACTGAGAGGAGATTGAAGTCTCTTGGGGCGTTTTTCCATGGTGTCACTGCAGTGAAATGAGTCATCCTTCCTCAGAAGCTTTAATTCCTCAGCCGATATACAGTGCAAGTTCATCAAATGCTTTCTTTCCTTGTTGTTATTTTTAAAAAGAGAGACAATGTAGGACAGCGGTCCCCAACCTTTGCAGCTTGGTGGCCCAGCTGGAGTACCAGCCCACTGGTTGCGCAAGATGAGCTGAGGGTGTGCGCACATGTGCACCGACCTGCCACTCGTGTGCCCTGGTTGCAAATAGACTATGACCTGGTAGTCGGCTGTGGCCCAGGGGTTGGGGACCCCGATGTATGGAATCCAAACAGGCTAATCTTGTAAAGAATGAACCATATCTTAGTATTAAGACTGAATGTCAACATCTGGTATTTTAGAAAGTTACTCCCACTAATGAATCAGTTATTGAAGGGATTAAAAAGAATTTACAAATAGTTCTTTGTTTGTTTGTTTGTTTGTTTGTTTGTTTGTTTGTTTATTTATTTATTTATTTCTTTATTTATTTATTTATTTATTTATTTATTTATTTATTTATTTATTTATTTATTTATTTATTTATTTATTGCGATTTATATGCCGCCTTTCTCCCTAGGGACTCAAGGCGGCTTACAAAATGACAACTTCAATACAAATCACAATACAATACCAAATTAAAATCAGTAACCCAATTAAAAAACGATTTAAAATTATACCAGTGTACCCCCAAACGGATCAGTTTACTTAGCACCATGCATGAAATAAAAGCTGATCCACTTTGATGAAATATGTAAGAAATAGTGATAATTGTGAACAGTACTGACCTTAATATTATCCTAACTCTACTGAAACAATTTTTTCAAAGTTCAAAAATCACTCTCAAATATGGGCTGTAGTAGGTCGTGAGGAACAGAATAATGATCAGATGACTTTCCATAAGAAGAGAGCCTGTCTTTGCGTTAACATATTTCTCCATTTCTAAACATACAACAACGATATTTCTCTTGATGTTCCAGCCATATAGTAGGTCATACAAGAAACTTAAAATACTGTATTTTTCCCAGTATAAGATGCACCGGAGTATTAGACACAGCTTAGTATTTGGGGAGGAAAATAGGAAAAAAAAGTCTGCCTACTAGGTATTCAACTGGCTAGCATCCTTAGTCTGGTCAGCTTCAGCACATTAGTTTGCTGGTTTTTATCCCCTGCTTGGGGAATAAAAAACAGCTTCTAAAGCACAACTGATCTTTGGAGAGAGAAGCAATGAGAAAAGCAGGCAAACCACGGAGATCGCTTCACTTGTTAGTGCTTCGTTAGGGCTGAAAAAAACCTTCGAAAAAGCTACATTCAGAGTATAAAACGCACCCAAATTTTCAGCCTCTTTTAGGGGAGAAAAGAAGGAGAGTGCATGTTATACTCCGAAAAATACTGTAGTTTTTAGTGTACGGTGGACTGAAAAAGGTGTACTAATTTTTGTGGTTTAATGTTTGAGTTATGATATTTTTATGAGTTTTAAAAATATGTTTAAACTTCTTTTGGTCTTGTTAGCCGAGAGTGAGGAAGAGGATGACGTTGAAATGGAAGTTGAAGATCCCGACGGCATGGATGCTGAAAAGCCAAACATCATTAATTTTGACACTAGCCTGCCAACCTCTCATGTGGTATGTGAACAGTGCTGTCATGGAATATCTGCTTGCCTTTTTCTAGGCTTATTGAATTTAAAACAGTCTGTTTCTTTGGAATTAGCATTCCTAAATTCATAATGCTAGCAGCTTAATACTTTAGGTGCTCTGCTGTAATCAAACTACTTTGTTTGTAGTTAGCAATTATCCTTTTTGCTTGTTCACATGCTCAGGATTATTATTTAGCAAGCGGATTTATTTATTTTTATATAACATTTATTTTCCAGTATAAACAAATGCAGACTTGCAGTGACTATAGAGACAATATACCAAAGTGAATACGTAAGCAGGAAAGTTGAATATGCAAACGTGTTCCTTATCTTGGAATATTCTATATATTCTAAGTCTACAGAGTGAACCCAGAATGTTCACTGTTAAAAAATAAGAAAAGAAGTTGAGGCTAGGCACGCTTAACATTTGTTTTATTATGTAAACTTTTAGACAATCACAAGCTGTTTTATGAAATATTTCGGTTACTGTCCCAAAGGTGCTTTTTCCAAAAAGGTAACTTTCTTGGGTTTTTCCTTTGAAACTATTTCCACTTCTCATCCAAGAAGTTTCTTCCATTCCCCACCAGTCAATTAGAACTGAAGAAGCTTCTTGGATAAGAAGCAAAATATTTTCAAAAGGAAAAAAAAAAAAACCCAAGGAAGTCCAGTTGCCTTTTGGAAAAAGTACCTGGCTCAGATGATTCAGATTCTCCATAGACATTTGTGTTACTACTTGGTGTATTCTTTTTCAGTAGTGTTGCTCAAAACTACTAGTAGCTGCTCTGCTATCAAGTGTCAATATTTTTATACTGTGTTTCTCTGAGGTTATTCCAGCATTCTCTTTAGGTTGTGGTATTTAAACATTGCAAACGAAACTGATAATTACTCCTACTTAATTGTAATTTTTTTCTTAAATTGAAGTATTTAGGATCAGATATGGAGGAATTTCATGGAAGGACTGTCCATGATGATGATAGCTGTCAAACAATTCCAGTTTTACCCCATGTTATGGTAATGCTGATTCCTGGGCAAACATTACCTCTTCAGCTTTTTCGTCCCCAAGAGGTCAGCATGGTTCGGAACTTAATACAAAGAGACAGAACCTTTGCTGTTCTTGCATACAGGTAAATATGTAAATAAATTTGCAGTTCTACTGTGATCCCAGACTGAACAGGAATTGTCCCATTTAATTTAATATTGAAGAAATTATTTGAACTTGTATATTGCATGACTAAATATTAACATGACTCATCTACGCAGTCGTTATTGTAGAAATAATTTCTCCCATGCTTTGGGGAAGAGCAAAGGTTAATTATATAAACCCCTCCAGTGAAGCTTATATAATTGTGATTTTGAGGGGATTTAGCGATGCAGTATTATCCAATGTCTCTGCTGAATGTCAAAGCAAAAATATCGAAGCCTTTTTTTTTTTTTGTAGGATTTTCTGCTGTGATATGTTAAAAAAAGAGCCAAACTTTGTTTCTTACTCCTTGAGTCAAGCATGTAGTCAAGCATGTAGTATTTCTTGTATTCAATTATTTATACTACTACTTCTGATCCATAAGTTTCTGCAGTACGCTTGTTTTCATTGATTTTTATTTTATTTTTAAATGTATTTTATTTATTTTGTCAAGTACATATTAGATAATATATATAAGTATAAGCATGAATTGAATACATAAAATGAATACAATTAAAGAGAACATTAGGACAGGGACGGTAGGCACACTGGTGCTCTTATGCACATCCCTTACTACCCTGTTTCCCTGAAAATAAGACAACCCCTGATAATAAGCCCAATCAGGCTTTTGAGCGCATGCGCTAAAATAAGCCCTCCCCAAAAATATTTAAACGCATGCGCAGCAAGTCCCCGCCATTTCCTCGGGTTAGGGTTAGGAAGACAGAGTTGGAAATCAGGTAAGATGGCAAGAGGAGCCCCATCTTGCTCCACGCGCCCCAAAATAATAAGACCTCCCCAAAAATAAGGCCAAGCGCTTATTTCGGGGTTCAAATCAATATAAGACAGGGTCTTATTTTCGGAAAAACATGGTATCGCTTGCTTTAAGGGTTTTTTTTCCCCAGACCATGGCTTTGACCACTGCTGGTGACAGTTAAAACCTGTCACCATCCTTGTAAGTAAATAATTTTTGTAATTCCTGCCCTACAATGTCACAGTTCTTAGGATTAGCAGATTCTGTTAATATTGGGGATGTGTGTGTGTGCAGTGAAAACATTATTGCTCCTTTATCGCTCATTCTAACATTTTTTTTTAAGCAACATACTTGAAAGAGAAGCACATTTTGGAACAACAGCTGAAATTTATGCCTATCGGGAAGAACAGAAATATGGAATTGAAACCGTCAAAGTAAAAGCTGTGGGAAGGCAGCGGTTTAAAGTACTTGAACTGAGAACTCAAGCTGATGGGTAAGAAAGGAGCTATTTATTCCAGTTAAGCAGCAGCACCTTTTAACATCCATTATATTCTTACTATTTTATTAGTGTGAAATGACCAACTTTTAATCTTCAGGAATTTCTATTTAGAAGCTGCTTATACTAGTATGAAATCTTGTATGGTCCTGATCCTGGGTAATTGTGTTTGCTTTTGTGGCTGAAGTATTTAGTAATAATCACCTTAAAACATCTTAACACTGTTTAAGTATCTTCAAAGAAAAATCCTATTAATGTCACTATCCATTATCCCATTTATTTAATTTAAACAAAATATGAAGACATAAAAATATTAACTTATGGAACTCATGACAGTAACATTTAAGGTTTAATAACTTTGTATTTTACTGTTAATAAAATAAGGAGCATCTAATGGCTATACAGACACAACTATGCAGGGTTGTTTTAGAAAGAGGGAAGTCGATGCCAATGTATTTTTTTCAGGATTTTGTGTGACGTCAACTTTGGGTTTCTTTTTGTAGACATCCCTTCATATACTTACCAGTTGATATCCTTTGTAGTGTTTTAAAATTAATTAAGGTTGGCTGTGGAATGAGCTTGCTTTGTGAATTACATCAAACTTACTCAGTTTATTCTTCCTAAACTATATATGAAATTGAATACATTAAAAGATAAAATGCAAATATGCAAATATGGAATCAATAGTACAAAGATTGCAAATAAAACATATTGGAAGAAGAGTTTGTATCCTAATGAAATGTGCAGTCAAACATTTACATTGAAGGATCTGTACTGGAGGATGTATATGCATACACACACACAAGGTGAAATTTGATGGGAATTTAGAGCACACTTTCTGAAAAGGAAGCTCTGACTAAAATGTGATGAGTGAACTATCACTTCCTTTGTATAGTGTATTGAAAATAATGTACGTATTTTCTCCAGTTGAAAAAAAAAATCCTATATAGGAATATAGCCAATGGAACACAAGATGGCAGCATACATTAACGTCACGAGTAGCTGTATGTGTTAAGAAAATGTTTTGAAATAACATTGATAAATCTTTTGTGGCACTTGTAGTCAACTTCATCCAGATAAGCCTGAATGAAACCAGGAGAGTTGTGTTTGTGTCTTGTTTGTGTGGGTTTCACGTTGGCATATGATTAGCTGTGGTGATCTAATCATCTGGAATAGGCCTAATGTTGAATACTGTCCAGCTGTTCTGATCTTTAAAAAAATGTAGATTGCTGAGGAGAGTTTTGCTTTGTTATCCTTATAAATTTGCAAGGAATGCCTCCAAACTCTCTCCAAATGTTCCTGCTGAATTGTACATTTTAATATGACAGATGGAAAATTATTAAACACTTGGGATATAATATATTATCTGTTCGTATTTCATAACATTTTTGATTGGATTTTGGGTTTTAAATTTTTATTTAGATTAAGAAATTAATTAAATCAGATTAATGCTTGTTCCTATTTGGCTCACTATTTCCCTCAAAATAATAATAAAAATTTTACTCAAATGCCAAACTCTCTCCTTGGTTATCATGCACTTTAGATGAAGAAATCTCATCTGGAATTGTTGGCCTTTTGCAAGGCTTTAAAAACTTGAGTATTTATCTGGATCTGGATTGCGTTAAGAAACCCCCATTACTTGGCTTTATTCTTAGCTGATTAGTCATCACAGCTGCCGCTCGTATTTATTTTGTGGATGTTTTTATTGTTTTAATGCTTTTTATTGTTTTATAATTTTAGAATTGTAAGCTAATCAGAGTTACTTGGTCGAATTGGATAGCTATAGAAAATGAATGAATGAATGAGCAAGCAAGCTGCTCAGATTGGGCAAGAGTTATTTTAATAGCAAGACCATGTTTCAATGATAGAGTCACCATGGTCTATGATGAATTATGAATGAGACTGATTGCATGCTAATCTCTCCTTATGATTCCACACAGTTTATGGATCATAAATCAGAATGAAAGACTGAAACTCATTAAAATCAACCCCTCATGAAGTTTCATATACAGTATCATTGTATATACGATACAATATATGATAGACTGAATCATATATACAATCTATCATATATACAATACATATATATATATATATACACTCCTCCCTTTATCAGCTGAGCCAGGTGAGAGGCAAGAGGGGAGAGGCAAGAGGGGAGAGATAACACTTAATCTCTCCCCTGGCTCAGATGATAAAGGGAGGAGAACTTGTGGCTCAGAGGTTAATACAACTGCCTATTATGCAGGCAGCCCAAGTTCAAATCCAAGTAAGGGTATGGCTAGCTGATGAGAGCTAAATAGATCTATACTAGTCTCCCTTTATTTCTTTATCAGCAAATATAAATTTGATACAAAATAGTTTGTCATGAAAGCGACTGCCTGTCATGAAAGCAGTATGCCAGTAGACCAGGTGCTTCGACAGAAACACACACACACACACACACACACACACACACACGAAAATGTAAAAAATAACAACATTGATCCTTGCATAGCCCCAAAGCGGTGGTGAAGACATCAGGCTAGCATCTAAGAACTCGTGAGTTCTAATCCTGCCTTAAGCACAAAGCCAACTAGATGACCTCGGGCCAGCCATTACTTCTGAAGAACCTAACCAAGAAAACTTTCAGGGACTTGTCCAAGCAGTCTTTGAGAATCAGACATGATTGAAGGGATGAAAAGAGATGTTTTCTCAAGATTACAGGTTACTTTCCATTTCTGCTCATTTTGAGCTAGGTCTAATTTTATTTCACACGTGTCTTAAATGGCTATTCAGGTAAAAATGCATTTCATAAGGTCGGATATTTACTGGATAATACCAAAATTAACCAAATTCCACAAAAAAGTTGGAACCAAATGTTTACTATTCAGCTTTAGAATGGTTCCCATTTTAAAAGGACAGGCTAAGGTCTAATGTGAAATAACTGAAGCTCTGGAGTAGAACCTCTGAAGTAGTGTAAGTCAAAAAAAATGGGTGGAGGATAGTTATATGAAATCATAAAATCATAAAAAAATTTTTTTAGAAACTTTTGAATTAAAATATGCAGTGTCCTCCTGTGCTTTCCTAGATGTTTATGCAATTAAAAGATGTAAATAACAAACATATTTGTGTCTCCCATAGAAGTGAATAGGTACAATTTTCACACTGGCTTTTTTTTTTTTAAATCAGCCTACAACAGGCCAAAGTGCAAATCCTTCCTGAGCGTGTGCTTCCTTCAACTATGTCTGCAGTGCAGCTGGAATCCCGCAGCAGATGTCACATTTTTCCTTGTCCTAAGCCTGCAACATGGCAGGATCAACAGATACATCAATGGCGACAGAAATACCAAAAGGTCAGAAGCTAATTATGCTCTTTTGTGACATTTCAAAAATCAATAAAAATTCCATCTCTGTATGTCTTTAAAAAAAAAAAGTGATGGTATTTATCAACCCTCTGCTAGTGCTGCTTCTGTTTTTAGCAAGCTGCCAGTTTGTTTTGGTGGTTCATCCATTGAAACCAGCGCTTGGTAATATATTTTTTACATTAGAAAGTCAGATCTGAAATAATGCATTCGAAAGTTAAAGAAGGTGATGATGGGGTGGCAGATGGTGGGGGTTTAAACTTATTCTTCAACCTAGCATCTTCTGGATGATTGTTGACTACAGCTTCCTGAATTGTGAAGCAGTATGGACCAGCAAGTGGAGCACTTTAAGGTTCTGCAGCTGGACAACCAGTTTGAAAGAGTTTTAATTGGGAAGATGCTAGCCATCATGTCGTTCAGGGGTGGACTGCTGGGGTCGCAGGGGTTCAGGAGAACCTCTAGCTAAGATTCTGTGCAGTTTGGAGAACCCCCAAATTCCACTCCAAGCTGGCCCCGCCCACCCCTCCCCTCCCCATGGTACCCGTTTTGGATGCAGGTAAGTGCAGGGTGCACGCGGAGGCTCAGAGGGAGAAAAACGGGCCCACCAGAACTTCGGGAGGCCTGTTTCCGGCCTCCAGAGCCTGGGGAGGCTGTTTTTGCCCTTCCGGAGGCTTGAGGAAAGCCTCCAGAGCCAAGGGAGGGCAAAAATGTCCCCTCCCCACCATGGTGCAGGAGGCCGACTAGGCTACGCCCCACCCAGCAACCGGGCAGAGAATCCCTTGCTAAAATTTTTGAAGCCGACCCCTGATGTCGTTCAATAGGAATTGGTAGAACAAAGATCAGTAGCTCAACTGGATTTGTAACCTACAGCGCAAAGTCTAAAAAAACTAGGAATTCTGAGATTTGCATTCTTAGCACCAAATTGAAGGCATCATGTTGGGTTTTGGTATGAACTGCATTTTTGAAACCAGGCCATGAAAGTGGATGAGTCACTGACAAATTCAACGATCAGTCTGATTATGTGCTGTGCTGTGTTTCATATATTCACGGCAGGCTTATGAATTAATAGCTGGAACAACAACCGGCATAAGAATTGCAGAAATGCTAAAAAAATATCTTCGGAAAACTTGTAGATACCTATAATAACCAATGTAGATTCAGAGCATGTAGGGAATGGGAGAGGCAAGGATAAGGGAAATATAATGGAAGGCCTTGGTGTTAATGGAACAAGGTCATTGTGCAATGCATTTTGTAGAATTTTTCATTTATGTAATTTTCTCTGGGATAGCTATTCAAGGTCAGGTTGGCTGGCAGTTTTGACCTTAATGCGGAATGTAGTTGTGATGTTTGAGATATATTAACCCCGTGAGAATAATTTTCCTGTTTCTTTGATCTAAAATGTTTATATAAATAGACTGGAGGAAGATGATAGGTTGATAGTACTGACATTTAACCTCCAGGCTGTATGCCTCATGCATGCAAATGTGCACGATTAGTCTGTTTTATGAAATAAAAAGCAGGGTAAGCTTAGTTTAATTCAACAGTGTTTAATTAGAACACAACTAGGTTCAAAACTGACCTAAATATTAAGTGAGCATTCTACATTTTGCATCTAGAATCTCCATATTTTACTCCTGATTATTTTTTGACATTTTCCCTCTAATTATAGTTTATAGACTACAGGCAATTGCTCTTTGCCTGCAGTCTATAACTGCAGGCAAAGAGCAGGGGTGGGAGTTGAGCTTTTGAATTCATCTGATGTCTTCATCATATTTGAAGGACCAGACTGGAATCCATAATGATCTTTACTATACTTTTGTACCATGTCCCAATACATATTTCTCCCTATCCCTCCCTATTTCAAAGATACTTTAGAAAGAACCCCTTTAAGTCCTTTGTATAGACCTTTGCATATAGGTTTAGTAGGCCAGCCCAGCATTTTGGGTGATGAGAAGATGAATATACCATATGTTCAAACATCACTTCAAGGGGAAAGGAAAATGGATAAAATTAGCAACTATTTCTTCATAGTGACTTTAATCTCTCCATAGAAATTCAGGTTGTTTGCGGTCACTTAAAAAAACTCTTGAAGAGAAGCCACAGCAACTATTTTGATCATGTATAGTGTTTAACAAGAGAGCCAGTTAGGTGTACAGGTTAAAGTACAAGGCTAAAACTAGGAAACTGTGAGTTCTACTCACATCTTGGGGCATAAAACCAGTTGGGTGATCTTGGGCTAGTCGTTTTCAGTCAGCCCTAGGAAGGATGCAATGGCAAACCACTTCTAAAATCTTGACAAGAAAACTGCAAGGTAGTTTTTTTGTCAAGATTTAGATTAGGTAGTCGCCAGGAATCAACAATGACAAAAAGGCACAAAAGTGTTTAATGAATCAATGAAGTCTTCAGGAATAGAACTTATCCTGATAATTAACTCTTCTTCTACAGAGCTGAATTATATATTTAAAGATAAGTAGATCTTAAGTTGACATTTAAAATTCTCTGGAGAATAAGATGCTAAAACATATTCATCCTATGCAATCCTGCCAAAGTAGGGCAAAGCAATAAAAGAAGGAGTTTAAAACTGGATTTGGAAACCAAGAACATAAAGCTTTACAAGAATTTTCTCTTGTCCCAAATTCAAATTAAATCATATTAAAAGTAAAACTGTATAAAACTGGAACCTATGACTTGTCCTTTGAACAGAAGAACAGAAAGAAATGTGTTCTCTTCCTAGATATATGAAAATAGATAAAGGGTTTTGAATTTTGAAATTTGTGCTGCCTTCCTTGGCAGTTGTGACTGCATAGTTCTTCCATATATCAGTCATGTACATATTTATATTTTAATGAGTTTCTTATGCCTTTTAGGGATGCGTAGTGACAATTTCTATCTTTCTGCATTTTTGTCCTTATCTGTTTCTAGCCAGCTATCCCAAATAATTTGTTTCCCAGTCAGCATAAAGCAATCATATATTATTTGTAAAGGCATGCTTTCATAATAATCTTGACTTGTTTGTGCACCTGCTGTGATATCTTTTTTCCAGTTCAGAGTTAAAAATGCAATTATTCCCCAAAGCACTAGTTTAACTAACTTATTAAAAGTCTTAGAATAATCTTCCAATGCCAGATTCTTCAGTGCTCTTTTTATGATTGGAAAGGCAAGGTTTTTCCCCCCTTCCTGTAATGACTTTCTGGTTTATCTTTGTTGATGAAAGGTAACTTATGTCTCTTGTAATGTGGTGGGCGTTAACTCTCATTCCCTGCTAACATAGTCCTGGTTGGGGAAAATGAGAGTTACAATCCAGTGTGGGATGAAAAAGACTGAAATGAGTGCTACTTTCATGAAAAGAATTCAGTATCTTCATTCTTGGCATTTTGCATGATCAGCACTGTTAAGTTGTACTGCATAAAGGCTATTTATTTGTTTATTTAGAGCAGTGGTTCTCAACCTGTGGGTCGCGACCCCTTTGGGGGGTCGAACGACCCTTTCACAGGGGTCGCCTAAGACCTTCAGAAAACACATATTTTCGATGGTTTTAGGAATAATTTTATGGTTGGGTTTTATGGTCATCACAACATGAGGAACTGTATTAAAGGGTCACGGCATTAGGAAGGTTGAGAACCACTGATTTAGAGACAATGGAACTTTTCAATGTTAACTACTTGAAAACAAATGGAAAGACTGCTGCCTTTGTATTTGGTTTATTGACTTCCCATAAGGCAGATGGGTTAATGGGACATTCCAGGAAACTCCTTGAGCCTATCAATCAACTATCAGATTATCTTTCCCTTCATTCAACTTTGCCAAACAGTAATTTTTCTCTTAATTCATTTGCGCCACATGCCCATAGTATATAGGTAGTCCTCAACTTACAACAGTTTGTTTAGTGACTGTTCAAGGTTACAACGGCATTGAAAAAAGTGAGTCATGACCATTTTTCACATGTATGAACATTGTAGGACCCACAGGTGGTTTATTGTTTGGATGCTGCACAACTGACTCAATTTATGATGGTTGCAGTGTCCCAGGGTCTTGTGATCCCCTTTTGTGACTTTCTAACCAGCAAAGTCAATGGAGAAATCAGATTCACTTCACAACCGTGTTACTAATTTAACAACTGCAGTGTTTCACTTAACAAACGTGGCAAGAAAAGTCATAAAAGGGGGCAAAACTCACTTAACAAATTTGTCACTTAGCAACATAAATTTTGGCCTCAAACATGGTCGTACGTTGAGGGCTGCCTATCTGTACACCCTTTCTTCATTTAGCGACCACAGTCCATTCTACAAATCAGAAGTGAAATGGTCGCTAAGTGAACACATGATGAAGACAGAGAGAGATGTTCCAAAGATCACTGGTTGCTGCCATCTTATTTAGATAAAGTTATTTCATGAGCAATGCCAGTGTTACTCTCACTTTGGCATGCATTCGTATCAGTTGTAGAAATCTGGTTGCAAGTGTCAGCATTGCTTGGGATTTTTTATTTTTTTATTATTAATATCATTAAGGTAGTATTCACAAATGGTCCCTAAACAAGGTAACTGCTAATTCAGGAATGGCTGTAGCTCACAGTTAAAGAGACAGAATTTAGCAGATGAAAAAAAGTTGTACATTCAGGATTATTCTGTCCTATGATTATATCCAATTTTCCTTGGATTTGATTGCTAGAATTTGTAGAAATTACTACTTCTAAAATAATAATGGCGATGTGTGAGTAAATTACAATCCTTGGAATTAATACTGTGAAAACTAATTTGATGGTGCCTCAAGTTAGTAATACATGTGTCATGTTTAATTCAAAAGTATATGTGCTTGGGAATGTGATTCATTCATTTTAAAGCAAATTTCTGCCGCTTCCAATTAGATATTCTGAAACTCCAAAAGTATGTTTGTTCCTGATAATAGAGAGCAGAGGTGAATAGCAATGCCACTGCAAGATAAATTGTGAGGGGAAAGACATTATTCTATGAAATATTTTAAATTGGCATACTTTTTAGAGGAACACTCTCTTACCATAGTTATGTACAAAAGTATAGATCTATAATAAAGAAAATGTGTTTGTCTTAACAGCGCAAGTTTAACTGTGCTAGTCTGACTTCCTGGCCATCGTGGTTGTATTCTTTATACGATGCTGTAAGTATCAATTAAGATTTCCGGCCTGCTTTGTATTGTGTTCAACTATTTGCACTCTTGTGTGTTTGAATTGTCCAAAAGAATTAGCTGGCGTAAGTATAGTGTTTTTGTGCATTCCTATGATTTGAATTGTGCTGTTAACTCTGCTTGGTTTATTTGCTTCATTTGCATGCAGAAAGCAACCCCCAGTTGTGTTTACATCATAAAGATATACTGACATAACTCCAAAATAAATAATTAAATAATAATACAATAAGCAAATGGTGACCATTCTCCAAATGTCTTGCAGAACAACTATCTTGATTAACTTTCAGAAGTTCCACAACGAGGGGCTCGGCTTAATCTGAGGAGGGGGATTACTAATATGAGGAGTGCATTTTAAGACTTTTAAGCATAGTCTGCACGTTCCTCATATAACAAAGCCCTAAGAATCTATTTAAAAACAACAGGATGTGTGCACTGGCTCTTTGAGTAGGGATGTGCACAAGAGGCGCTGAAATGGCCATTTCTATACAAGGGAGGCAATTCTGAGCTATCTAAGCACCAAACTATATTGGTCCCTTGTGGCTTCAATTCTAACTATAAACCTGTTGGAAATCAATGCAGTACCCATACAAAGAGTGTAGTAGTCACCAGTGGCAGCCCATGTAGAATATATGCTATAATCTTGACTTGTGACAGTAAGTGCATGAATTAGAGCCTTGATAGTACAGTGGTCTACGCACCCTTTTATTAACACAGCTGCCTGCAATTTACTGCTGGTTCGAATCTCTCCAAGGCTCAAGGTTGACTCAGCCTTCCATCCTTTCTAAGGTAGGTGAAATGAGGACCCAGTTTGTGGGGGCAATAAGCTGACTTTGTATAAATATACAAAAGTATGAAGGCTATTGCTTAACGCACTGTAAGCCGCCCTGAGTCTCCGGAGAAGGGTGGCATATAAATCAAATTAAAATTTTTTTTTTACTGTGGCTAGGGTCTCCCAATCCAGGACTGGCTAGAGCAGTCAGTTTTGGGCTCTTAAGCGGGCTGTTTTGGGCTCTTAAGTGTAGAAAATCTGCTAGTTTGAAGTTTGGTTTGGCTGACAGTCCCCCACTCCATCAACTTTGCCTAGATATGGGTGGCTGAAGGTTAGCAATAGCACTTAGACTTATATACGGCTTCACAGTGTTTTACAGCTCTCTCAAAGCGGTTTACAGAGTCAGCCTATTGCCCCCAACAATCTGGGTCCTCCTTTTACCCACCTCAGAAGGATGGAAGGCTGAGTCAACTTTGAGCCGATCAGAATCAAACTGTGGAATTGCAGGCAGCTGGCAGACAGCAGAAGTACCCTGCAGTACTGCATCCTAACCACTGCACTACCACGGCTAGATACAGTAGTTGTTCTCCAAGTTTTTCAGGCCCACAGTGGCTCTTTGATGAGGGGAGGTGTCAGTACCTTCTCTAAGGAGTTACCCCTCCTCTCAATGAAATTTTACTTCAAATTTTGAAAGCAGGTCTGATTTTACTGGAAGTTAAGAGGATTTTATGTTTTTCTACCCTATTTATGGAGGCTGCTTTAAAGCACCACACTTTTGTTGTTATCACAAGTATGCCATTGTGATTGAAAAATCATCATAGAAATGTATATAATTACCATATTTTGGGGGTATAAGACACATCCCCCCCCAAAAGTCGGTGTAAATTTAGGTGCGTCTTATAGACCAAATATGGGCGTTTTTGGCCTCCTGAACTGTCCGCGCGTCACGTTTTCCCCCTCCACCCCCCAAAAGCACTCTGCATGGCTCGTTTTTACCAAAAATGGGCCCGTTTTTGGACTCCAAAGCGCTCTGTGCATCACATTTTTGCCCTCCCTGGCCCCCAAAAGCACTCTGCAGGTCAAAAATGGGCGCGTTTTTGGCAAAAACGGGCCATGCGGAGCACTGCAGAGTCGTCTGGGGGCTGGGAAGGCGAAAATGTGATGCGTAGAGAGCTTTGGAGCCCAAAAGCAAACCCATTTTTGGTGAAAATGGGCCGGTTTTGGCGAAAACGGGTCGTGTGGAGCACCGTAGAGTGCTTCTGGAGGCCTGGGAGGGCAAAAATCCGACGTGTGGAGGCCAAAAACTATTTTTTTCTTGTTTTCCTTCTGTAAATTTAGGTGCATCTTATAGTCCGGTGCGTTTTATAGTTTGAAAAATACAGTAATAAATAAAATAAGGTGTCTTCAGCAAATGAAACTCCTTCTGTTGGTAGAGTTATAATCTATATAGCATTAAATTGCCACTATTTCAGTTTTGATTTTCATTCTGAGTTAATCGTTGTCTACTTATATTTGGCATATAAAGGCTTGGAATAAGTTCATGAATTCTAGTTTCTGGTGAAAAAAAATCATTTCAAGTCACTGTTAAGTTCTGTGGACTAGCAGCTGTGCCCATTCAGTTTATCCTGTTCATGATCAAGGACCATCTCCATTCTATCAATGGAGGTGAACCTTCGCATACATACAGTAGAGATTTGTGTCAAGTAATTGGAAGAGGGGCAAAGCTCCCTGCCCTGAATTTCTCAAACAAGGGAGGAAGTGGTCCTTATTGCTGGTAAATGATTCGTCTTAAAGTTGTTTGTTAATATTTCTCCCAATGTTTCAAATATAGTATTTTAGTTTTAAGGAGCTTAAACTGCAGTTCTAATGAGAAACGCTTTTTCTCGACGATTCCTTTTTTCTTATTTTGTTAACAAAAAAAGTAGTTTTTATGTTTAAATTAGGTTTTTCTTATAACACAAGGAAACCTTGATGGAACGAGTCAAGCAACAGCTTCATGAGTGGGATGAAAATCTTAAAGATGAATCCCTTCCAGAAAACCCAATAGGTACATTATTTATTAAATAATGAGTTGTATTGTTGGTAAAAATCTTCATCAAATCAGTTTGTTAGTTTATTATTTAACCGATCCTACATCACAACTGAGTTACAGAGCAGCCTTCTGCAGCTTTGTATATTTACTGTGACTTTTATATAAAGAGGTAAAATTGCACCCACCTATCCAAATTGTTAGAAAAACATTGGGGAAACATCAGCAGAGCTACACATTACTCTTTTGTGTGGCAACCACTTGCAGTATCTTGTGTGTTGCAGCTTATAGTTGTTGAGTTACAATATGCATTTCCATTAATGTGGGAAATCATATAGAAGAACGGACAGCTTTATGTAGCTGTGCAGATAACAATGCTGTAATGAACTAAGAACTATCACTGTAAATACCAATTTGTCATTCCTTTCTTTAACCTGGTTATTACTATACATTTGCCCTAATTTGCTGTATGTGTAATGTGGCTTTATAGAGTTGTATGAGAAGAGCAGTAGCGTCACACTGTCAAAATTGCAGATCTGCTTGTTTATTATAATTATATTATTCCTTGAGATACGATTACATTTATAGAATGCAAACTGTAATAAAACTAAGCATAGTTAGTATCTACTTGGAGAAAGTAATCTGATTTGTTTCAGCTGATCTGAAGTTAAGGGAAGTTAATTGTGAATAGTGACAGTTTATTTTTAGTACTCTGCCTAAATGTAGCTTGGTTAAGTCTATTGTCTCTCTTAGAATGAACCTTGTTTTTATTTCAGATTTTTCATATAGAGTTGCAGCATGCCTACCAATTGATGATGTTTTGCGAATTCAGCTGCTTAAAATTGGTAGTGCTGTTCAGCGACTGCGCTGTGAACTAGACATTATGAACAAAGTGAGTGAGTAAGTCCTTTAGTCCTGTTATGCTTAAAAGATTCATCCTATTGGGACTTACTTTTGAGGAGGCTTAAATGTGAAATGTATGCTGAAAACAATAATCCAGTATACTGATTGTGTCCTGACTATTCAAAATAATAATTGTTCTAGCTTTTACAGGTATGATCATTGTTCAGAGAAGATATGCATTTCAGTTTCAGCATAAGGCTCTTAAATTAACAATTTAAACTTTTCTACCCAATGATGGTTTAGCTTTCATGTGATAGTTTGAACATATGAACCATGTACACGTGCAATTTCATTTCTTTTCTCATTAAACCAAAAAAAAACTACTTTTATCAGGTTGTATGTTTGAAGAGCAGACCAAAATTTTGCATGTAGTTTACTAAAAGGTTGGGGGGCTGTGGCGTGGGAACACAAATTACCATGTATTTCTGGATTATTTCCAGACAATAATATTAATTCTAATAGAAAGATACCCCTCCAAAACAATTTATATGTTTATTGAAATAATTTTTCAGTCATCTGGTTCTAGTCTTCTTGGCAAGAATTATATATTCCATAATATAAACATATATTAAAAAGTTGATCTCCGTTTTCTTTTTCTCTATAACATTTGCCTTTTTGTTTGTAGTGTACCTCTCTTTGCTGTAAGCATTGCCAAGATACAGAAATAACTACTAAAAATGAAATATTCAGGTGAGATTTAAAAGTTACTTTGTACATCTCTTAGTTTGCATTGCCTCATATAATATGCCATCACGAGCTTCTTGGGAAAAAAAGGATACCTTTTAATAAAGACAAAAACATGTAAAATAATTAACTAGCAATTATACAGATGTTTGGGAGTTGAGTAATGTATATTAATTCATAAAACATTTAGCTGTTTTCAGGTTATGAGGTTTCAGATTAAAATAAGCCCTACGAGGACACAATAAAAATCTAAATCAATATAACATTACTGATTTTAAAACTGAAATGTGACCACAAAAATAATAGCTACACATGAAATAATGCAGTAAAAGTCTTAATTAGGACCTGAAGCTAGTAGTGAAAATTGTGACTAAGGAAGGGGGGAATTCCACAATTGGAATCCAGTGTCTAAAATAGCCTGCCTTGAATATCTGCCTAGTGAATTATTCACAAGAGCAGGCATGCTAAGGCTTTCCTTGCTCAATCTCAGTTGTTGTAGAGGTTTATAAGAAAGCATCCCACTTAGGTTTGAAGTTATATAGGTGTCAGGGTTCCAAGTTACAACCCCAAAGCAATCAACGCAATCAGCCCTGAAACCATTTTGGGAGCATCTTCGGGGCTGCCAATAGGGTTTGATATGTCATCGTGAGTTCCTTGAATTTGACTTGCTTGGATATTAGCATCCAGTGCAGGTCCTGTAGGACACAATGCTTTGTACTTGTAGCTTCTGAGCCAATCTTCAATCTTCCCATGGAAATTTCTTAGTGGTTCTTTAGTGGATTTACTAAACCAATTATGATTTTGACTAAGAGGTTGTGTTTTGGAATTACGTTAATAAACCAGCTATCTTTGGGGGGGCGGGGGGAATGTTACCTATAAAGCCTGCTTGAACCTCAGGTGGTAAACATGGATTTAGAAGTACCTCAGTTTCTGTACTACCTCCTTTAAAGATAACTCAAATCTATCTAGGGTAGCTAGTCTCACTAATTCCTAGATAAAGGAATTCATATCTAACTACAGTGTCTTTATCTTGATGGGATCTTGCTTATAATATTGGCTCTTACCAAGCTACAGTCTGCTTAGTCTCTCCTGATGCAGATGATACAAGCTTGGCAGATATATGTTAAAGAAAATATTTACTTAGGGGTACGGTTCTCAGAAATAGTTCACTTTTGTGCTTTTGCCATAATCATGTTTTATAATTGTTTGTAGTTTATCCCTATGTGGACCTATGGCAGCCTATGTGAATCCTCATGGCTATGTGCATGAGACCCTTACTGTCTACAAGGCCAGCAATTTGAATCTGAATGGCGGATCTTCCACAGACCACAGCTGGTTTCCTGGGTAAGTCTTACTTAAATTCGTTTTTTATTTTATTTTAATTTATTTTTTATTTTATTTTATTATTTTATGTTTATGCTGTTCGTCTCACTATTTTGAATAGGTAGCTTATGGTAATATGAAGCAGAGTTCCCCAACATTTCTGGCTTTGTGGACCGGCGGGGGGGGGGGGGGGGATGGTTCACACAAGTAGCCAGCAAGCGCAGATGCGTGTGCATCTCCGTTTTCGCAAGTGCCATCCACGCATGTCTTCCACTCACACAAATGAAGCGCACGTGCTCGCCCTCTGTTCTAGTAAGTGAGGATACACGTATGAGTGTGCTTGCCGGTCGTTTCCATGTCCCAGTTGCAAACCACGTACGGTCCACAGGTTGGGAACCCCTGATATAAAGCACCAGAAATATAAAATGCTAGAGATAGATATGAAAGTATAAGAAATGTTACAATTAATTTTAACAATATCTAAATAAATAACAAGTTTAAACCAAGAGCATGGATAGTACAGGGGTAGATGTTTGTCTCTCACTCAGTCAATTACCTCCAGCATAGTGTGCCTCATTGGGGCCCAAGTCAACTGGCAGCGCCAAGTTTTAAGGCATTTCTAGAAAGCCAGAAACATGGAAGTGGATCTTGCCTCAGGAGGCAAAATATTCCAGAGGGCAGGGGGCCATGGCAGAGAAGGCTCTTCTCCTTGACCCCAGTATCTTAAATTCTTCAATCAACGGAGTCCAGACAAGGCTTATTGCTTTGGGTACATTCAGTGTGCCATTTTGCATTATTTCTCCATTAATGAAGCAGAAGCTGCCTTGCAGGTATTCAGCCCTCAAGGTATTAAAATGTAAATAGAAAGAAAATGGAAAGTTCATTAACTCCATCTCCTCAGTGCCGAGTATAGACAGAAGGGAAGGACAAACAGCCTGGCTTGTTTCTCTTAAGTAGAGATTTTTTTTATTTATTAAAAATCATCATAAAAAATTTTATGAGTCAAGTACATGTTTAATTTGTGCCAACCATATGTGGTTTAACCAATTCTGACATTTATGGGGAAGTACTCTCAATCCCCATATATTATTAGAATGTCAGTTGGTTAGAAATAGTGCCATTTAGGAAACTGATGCTTTATATTAGAACAGGTTTCTGGTTTGTGTTTTAGAAAAATCCTGGACAAAGCAGTTTGAGGCCATTTCTGAAATTTTACTGTTCATTCCGTTTTGCCATTATGCAAATGAGCCTGCATATGAATTCCTTATTTTAAATGCTATAATATTCATATTTTGAACTCTGCTTTATATGCTGTTACGAACATTTTGCCACCTTGTAAATATATTTGTCAATCATAAAGGCTAACATAAATGCTATCCATTTCTAGATACGCATGGACTATAGCTCAGTGTAAGATCTGTGGAAGCCATATGGGTTGGAAGTTTACTGCCACCAAGACGGAGTTGTCGCCTCAAAAATTCTGGGGATTGACCCGTTCTGCTTTGCTGCCAAGAATTCCAGAAAAAGAGAACGAATCTGGGCAAGAAAGATCTCTACTGCTTTGCCTTTGATCTGGGCATCTTTACACAGAACAAACTAAAAGCAGTTTGTGTCTTGAAGAGAAAAGTATTAAAATCCGCCTCTGGGATCTATCTGTTCATATATTTGAACTTCACAAAAAAGGCACTGTTGTTTCCGAAGGCCCTGAAAAATTTAATATTTTGAAGATGTACAGAATGCAAAACGGAACATGAGAAAACGCAGGCAGTTTCATGTTTTCTGGCATGTGCCGAATTGAACAGTTCAGATTTACAGGTGCTCTTTAATAATGTAAGAAGACATCTAGCGTTGTTGAGGAGCTAAAAGCTGAGTAGAAGTGACATGAAGACTATATAACTTAAAAGTGTGCGTAATGATAGCTATAACCTATTGCCCGCTGTTTTAAGGTATTTTCCTGTAGATTGTGGTGAATTTACTAGAATACCTGTTTGCTACCTGTATGAAATAGTTTACAGGTACTAGCATTTGCTTCAATAAGCCTTAAAAAGACAAAGAGACCCAGTCTTCTCAAAGGAGTGTTCAGCTGCCTAAGATCAGACTCTAGCTACTGTAGAAGCACGCATTGAAGCCTGCTGCTCAGAGAATCTATGGAATGCAGCTCTTTGGTTAAAATGAAATCCAGCCAGGCTGTTTGTGTTTGCTTTATCTCCTTTACAGGATTTTCACTCATTTGGCATTTTCAGACTTCCTTTTTTTAAAAAAGTAGAAATATAGGATAGTTGTTTATGCCTCTAGCAGCATAATAAAGGATATGATTCTTTCGAGATTGAATCTCTCCAGTACATTTCAGTTAATCATATCACAAAAGTTTGTAATTTAAACGTTTTGAAGCATTATGTATCTTTTTACATGTCTTAGGGACTTGGCATCGCAGCTGTTCATAAGCTATATATTTGGTATTGGAGAGCAGCAGACAGCTTACTACTCTTTGTAATTTCTTATCTGAACCTGAGGGATTGTGGAGTAATAATGCTTCCGATAGAAACTTTGTTTTCAGGAGATATTATAGAAATAGGTGCCAAAAAAGAAGGAATAAAGATTTAATGTTTTTTTTTTTCAGAATGCACTTCAGTAAATCCACAGGTATCAGATTTGTTTCATAGGAATATGTAGTGAGCTTGTTAATAATATGTGTTGAGTTACCTCGCTGAAATAAAAACTTTGCTGAAACATTTTGGTAATTTCATACATACCCATCACATTTCCTTGTAAGTTGTTATTTTGAAGCAAACATCTAACTTTAAAGATGGCATTTATTGTATAAGTTGAAAAGATATGCCCTCAATGAAATTGAGTTTGACACCCCTGGGTTGGGCCTTTATATCAAAATGGCAACAAATAAAGGCCAGAGATTGAAGTTATACTTAAATTTTATGCGATTTAAGTTTAATATGAGTTTAAGCAAGGCTTTCTAAAAAAAAAATACTTGGACCCTCATATAATTTATTGAGATCATGAATAAGTAATTTTTCAATTTTTAGTTAATGTTGACTATTATGTGTCTTACCTCAGTTTGTGATAGATTTAAGATTAATAAACTAATAGCATATTCTAATTATTAAGCAAGCATGAGTTCAAGTTATTGCAAAGTAACTGCATCTTGCTATTGTGAAATTGGCTGTTGTCTTCCCAATTAATTCTGCAGGGCATATGCTTTACAGTTTCAATATAGAGCCATTAAATGGGTCTCTCTTATCAACTCAGTTTCTCTGTTTTATATGTATTGTGGGATTTCCAAAAATTAGAGGAAAGGGGAGAAAATGGAAATTAAAGGTGTTTAAACAGATAATAAAATAAAATGAATTGTTTTTCTTTTGAGAGCTTACTGCAGAAACTAAAGGAGCATTACAAATATCTGCATCTTTATTTTTTTCCTAAAAGCAGTGCCAATAAGATTTCAAATCTGAAAATTTATTTCTACATCATAAAAAGTTTCGATTTGGCTTGTCACTTGTCCTTTTTTTTTTTTTTAACCAACCATCTTTTTCTTGGAAGGAAACCAAATGAAATGAGAATAAAAAAGAATATTTTTTTTTATTATGGTCACTGAATTAAATGAAAGCTGCTGTGATTTCAACCAAGTACTTTTACATCGTTTATTCCTATTAAATTTCTAAATCAGACATTTGTGGCTTTCAAACTAGTAGTACCTTAATAGCATTACTATGTCTGAATTGAACTTGCATTCTCCTTTTGACTCAAGTAAATTCATAACTTTGTATATTGCTATCAATATTTTTTCAGTTGGATCTATAGTGGTTAAGGCATCAGCTGTAAAGTGGAGACTAAGTTCTTTCTAATGCTGTTTTAGCCATGAAAGCAAACTGGGTGGCTCGAGCCAATCAATCTTTTTTAGCCCAACTCATCTCACAAAGTGATTTTTGTAGGGAAAATAGGAGGAGGAAGGTGTATTAGATACGTTCGCTGCCTTGAGTTATTTGTAAAAATAATAAAAGGCAGGATAGCAATAGCACTTAACTTATATACCGCTTCACAGTGCTTTTACAGCCCTAATTGGTTTACAGAGTCAGCATATTGCCCCCAACAATCTGGGTCCTCATTTTACCCACCTCGGAAGGATGGAAGGCTGAGTCAACCTTGAGCCTGGTGAGATTCAATTTGCCAAATTGCAGTCAGTCGGCAGTCAGCAGAAGTAGCCTACAGTACTTCATTCTAACCACTGTGCCACCGCGGATACAAATAAATGAAAAAATAAAATGCAGGACAAATGAAATTTCAAGGGCTGAGAGAATCAACCATTTTTTATTGTGCGTGAAGCCACCAGCTTTTTAAAGAGCTTCACATGACTAAATTCTATTTAGATCAAATCTAAATTCTATTAATCTCAATTGGTATTATTTCCCCCCATTTCTACTTTTCTCAACTATTTCTACTTGTATGTTTTTAAAACTCACCTCGATTTACCTTTTGAATTTTATTTTCAGAAATTCATTATTTTCGCTTTGCGGGCTTCATCATAGGTCATGGGCTTTCATAAAGATACGGTATTGCTTGTTTCAAACTGACTTGCTTCAGTTCTATGGCTGAATAGTGTACATTCAAAAATCATAAAATTCAGGATGTAATACAAATCATCTCCTTAGCAGTTTCTTAAAAGTAGGTAAATATAACACAACATATTACACCATGTCATCATTTGTTTTACAAAAAGAAAGGTAAAATGGAGAAGCCATGTGTGAAAAAACTAAGTACATCCTTACTGTTTCCATAGATATGAAGAGGCTAAGTAGCTACTAATCGAGTGCCCTTGGTCAATTGATCATCAGAAAGCGTGACTACCTGTATAAAAGCTGAAGTTGAATTTGCTGGTCTCCAGCATTGAGGTGTGTGTTACTACAATACCAAAGAGTAAAGACGTCAGCAATGATCTTAAGAGAAGCAACTGTTGTTGTCCATCAATCTGGGAAGGGTTATAAGGCCATTTCCAAACAATGTAAAGTCCATCATTCAACAATGAGGAAAATTATTCACAAGTGGAAAACATTCAAGACAGTTGCCAATCTTCCCAAGAGTGAACATCCCAGCAAATACATCCCAAGATCAAACTCTGCAATGCTCAGAGAATTTGCAAAAAATCCCAAGAGTTACATCTGAGATTCTATAGCACAAGTGTCAAACTTGACATATCACATTTTTTTTTGCGGAGCTGGGGTGGGCATGGCCTGCATGTGACGCACCTGGCCCGTGGGCCACCAGTATGACACCCCTGCTCTAAAACATCTTAAATGTTGAAAGTTCATGACAGTACAATTAGAAAAAGTCTGAACAAGTATGGTTTCCTTATTTGAATTTGCTTATTTGAATGTTTGGAAGTGTTGCCAAACAAACTAAAAAAACATGGCAGCAGAGTTTAGATTTGCAAAGTTGCATCTGCACAAATCACAAGATGTCTGGAACACTGCCCTTTGGACAGATGAGACCAAAGTGGAGTTGTTTGGCCATAATGCAGTGCCATGTTTGTTGAAAACACAGCGTATCAGCACAAAAGTCTACAGCGAAGTTTAGGAATGATTTGGCCGATTGTGCTCAGATCTCTAATTATACTTTTGTATTAGTTTGTGTTTCTGTCAGTAAATGAGGGTCTCTGACCCTAAATACTGTAGACTTGTAACAATCATCCTGCAATCCAACCATAACCGTGGCTTTCTCAGGTTGCGATCCATATACAAAATGCCCACATCTATTATGTATTTTGATTCCAGAATTGAATAAGATCAAATTCAAGCTTTTCCATTATTTAGAGCAACATACACTGAAACTTTTTGCAGGATAAACTGTCATATCAACCAACTCCTACAATCCCAATAGCATAGCGCCATGATGGCGAACCTCTGGCATGCACAGCCCTCTCTGCTGGCACACGTGCCATCACCCCAGGTCAGATCTCCGTGGCATTTCTTTTGTGAGCTTGTTTCTCTGCAAATGATGAAACAGAAGCTCACAAAAGAAAAAGATCTTACTTCTTGCCATGCTACCGGTGGTGGGATGCCCCGTCTCCCGCCGGCCAGCTGGTCTTTGGGGTCTCTGCTGCGCATGTCCGCGCATGCGCAAGATCACACCCGCACACACCTTTGGGCATGCGTGCATGGTTTGGGCACTCGGTGTCTAAAAGGTTCGCCATCAATGACATAGTGGTAACACCTATAACATGCAATTTAAAGTGAATTCCGGAAGAAAAGCAAATTAAAAACAAACAAGTCTCTAACTTTCCAGATTAAGGGATGCAGAAACGTATCATGGAACTACAAGAGTTAGCAGCCCTCAAGTTACTACAAGTGAGACTAGAATTTCCACGGCTAAGCAAGGCAGTTGTTAAGTGAGTTGTGTCCAATTTGCTACTTTTTTTTTTTTTTTGCCATGATTAAGTGGATCATTGCAGTTATTAAGTGAATCCTGTTCGGAGGGTTGCAAATAGTGATCGTGTGAACTCAGGATGCTGCTGCCACTATGGTAAATGCATGCCAGTTACCATGCACCCGAACTCTGACCAGGTGACCGTGTGAATGCTATGGCAGTCATTAAGTGTGAAGATCAAGTATATCACATTTTTCAGTGCCATTATAACTTTGGTCATGAAACAAATAACTTTAAGTTGAAAACTACCTATAATGCATTAATTAGGGTTAGAATTATACCCTCCAATGCTCATATTCCTCAATGTCCTTGATGGACTGACTTAGAATTAAGGGAACTTACCATTTCTCAGAAGCAAGGATAGAGAAAATACAAAATACAGTAGATAGGATAAAATACATCTTAAGCTAGAGGGTGTCCTGGCAGCATTATGATCAAATTAAATATTAAAATTTCCATTATTAGAAATTAGCCCTCATAAGGTCCAAACTGAAGAAAAAGTCATATTTATTTATATTTCCTATTTCTAAAATGCCCATCTCCCTCAGAGAATTTGAAATTAGAATTTGGAACTAATTATCACCCAGAGATCTTTCAGCATGCACTTGAGCTATCTTCTGTACTATATTGTTCGTAATATAAAATTGGCTCCCATAGGTAGGGTTGCCACCTAGTGGATAGAAACTTCTGTCATTATCCAAATTCACCAACCCAGTAAGAAAATTTTCACTGAAATCCTAAATACACTGCCAAGAACTAATCCCACTAAGCTTCAGTGTTTTACTTAGAGTTGGGGGGTTTTCTGGAACGCTAACAAGTAACACATTTTGCAACATTAGATGTAACATATAGGATCAGTTTATAAAACCATTATAGGCTTTTATAACATGTAAGTTAAAAATAAGGCAAGCTGGGCCATTGTATAATTTGTATTTTAAAAAAATCAATTTTTATTAGTTCTCAGAATCTTTTCAGACCCATGGAAAATAAAATGAATGAAAAGTGCCCAACTCAATTTAAATATTAGAAATACTATCCTTTTACTTAAAAGCTTGTTTTGAATAGCAAGTAATCTTTTTTCAGTATTTAAAACTTGAGGTTGTTATCCATAATGTAATTTGAGTTTCAGTGAAATGATAATGCTTGATAGTATCTGGTCTGACTAAACTGTGACTGAGGTTCAAGATAATACATGGTTGCTAACTGAATGGATGGGAATCATTTTTGAATAAACATGGATTTTCTTAAATTAATTTCCCTTGTTTTTTAAAGTCAACTCAATCCAAATAATATTTTTGAACAATCTACATACAACTTTGGGGTTATTTAATAGTTGAGTAAAAACATATGAAAGTTATTCGTGTATTACCAGATGGACACAAAAACAACCCTATTTAATGTTTTAGGACTGAAATACAAATGATCCTAACATTCAGAAATAAAAATGAACCCAATGAAATATGTGGAACTTCATACAAAATTGTTCAGTTTCATCACTATTTGCTTTCATGCCTTCTTTATGTAGCTTAACAGTTCTTCTTTATTCATTTGGTAATCACTTTTTTTCCACTGATCACGTAATTGTTGCAGGAGGGGCCCAATGTCTTTTCCTGATGAGATTCCCATTTGTCTTAAGTCATGACCAGTTACAGGAAAAGAGGGTAAAGACCACTCTTGCATTTGTTTCAGAAGTTCTTCTTCTCCTTGGTACTTCAGAAGTTCATGGATTCTAGATGTTGCAGAAGACTCCCTTGCCTTCACAAATACAAGAAAATGAGAAATCTGAGCACCAAGCATTCATGGTCAAGTTACTATTTTTATACACAAAACACTTCAAAACCAGATCAATCCTCAATCTTCTTAAAGTTCAAGCTTTACTTGGCACCATTTTGAAAAACAATAAGTACAGAATTTCTATTTTTTTATGGTGCTT